ACATGAAGAGATACAGTAGGCACGCAGAAGGGCAAATATGCTCGCCATGTCCTTGGGCATGCTGCGTCCGTCTAGTATAGTTTGTACCCTTGCCCCAGGCAGGCTCCCCTGAAGCAACACAACTGCCACTTAGGTAGTTGTCAGCATTATGGCCCCTTTTTGGGTACCCTAAATATTAGGTGCCGTGTTGTAATAAGGACCCAAACAGGGACGATAATTTCCACAACCACCCACTTCTTGGACCGAGATTGCCTCGGCTTGCTTGGCCATGCGCCTGAGGCTGCAAGTTGGGCAAATCTGAAAGTCCGCCCCGAGGCCTCACGGCTACCAATCGGGGTGAGCAGACTTCGTTTGAGGTTTACGAGATCATTGTTCGGGGTTTTTGGGTAGTCCTTTTTGGTAGATTACGGTTGTGGGTTCAGGGGCTGGTAAACTCAGGTTCCAGGTTACTTGCTTTGGTAGATTCCAGCTTAAGTTTCTGGTCGTTGACAGATTCGGGTAATAGGCTTAGGCTCGGTTACATTAGAGGGCCCGCAGGCCCGGGTTGAGGATTTGGTTTGGGTGTTGAAAGTTCTCCTTTGAGAGAGCTGTATCGGTTACCACCTCAATGTGATATCGGAACTGTTGTTTCATGGTGCTTCATGCTGCTTGTGCAGCTTCATTAGAAGAAGAGAGTGAAATTCTTCATGTGCGACCGGCACGGAGCTCAAGGGATGCCTCGCGAAAAACACCTCCGGCCCTAAAGCCGAAACTGTAAAACCCTAAACCCCTAAACCCCTTGCACCCCAGACCCTATAATAGGCCCTATTATAATAGGCCCGGTATCCTTCCAGAGATCCCTTGAAGGAACCCTGATACTCCTTATAGTACCCTTTAAAGAAGCCCTTATACTCCGTATAGTACCCCTGCAAAGGAATCCTCATACTCCTTATAGTACCCTTTAAAGGAGCCCTTATACTCCGTATAGTACCCCTGCAAAGGAACCCTCATACTCCTTATAGTACCCTTTAAAGGAGCCCTTATACTCCGTATAGTACCCCTGCAAAGGAACCCTCATACTCCTTATAGTACCCTTTAAAGGAGCCCTTATACTCCGTATAGTACCCCTGCAAAGGAATCCTCATACTCCTTATAGTACCCTTTAAAGGAGCCCTTATACTCCGTATAGTACCCCTGCAAAGGAACCCTCATACTCCTTATAGTACCCTTTAAAGGAGCCCTTATATCCGTATAGTACCCCTGCAAAGGAACCCTCATACTCCTTATAGTACCCTTTAAAGGAGCCCTTATACTCCGTATAGTACCCCTGCAAAGGAATCCTCATACTCCTTATAGTACCCTTTAAAGGAGCCCTTATACTCCGTATAGTACCCCTGCAAAGGAACCCTCATACTCCTTATAGTACCCTTTAAAGGAGCCCTTATACTCCGTATAGTACCCCTGCAAAGGAACCCTCATACTCCTTATAGTACCCTTTAAAGGAGCCCTTATACTCCGTATAGTACCCCTGCAAAGGAACCCTCATACTCCTTATAGTACCCTTTAAAGGAGCCCTTATACTCCGTATAGTACCCCTGCAAAGGAACCCTCATCCTCCTTATAGTACCCTTTAAAGGAGCCCTTATACTCCGTATAGTACCCCTGCAAAGGAATCCTCATACTCCTTATAGTACCCTTTAAAGGAGCCCTTATACTCCGTATAGTACCCCTGCAAAGGAACCCTCATACTCCTTATAGTACCCTTTAAAGGAGCCCTTATACTCCGTATAGTACCCCTGCAAAGGAACCCTCATACTCCTTATAGTACCCTTTAAAGGAGCCCTTATACTCCGTATAGTACCCCTGCAAAGGAACCCTCATACTCCTTATAGTACCCTTTAAAGGAGCCCTTATACTCCGTATAGTACCCCTGCAAAGGAATCCTCATACTCCTTATAGTACCCTTGTGAAGGAACCCAAGAAACCCAGCAGTCTCTGTAAGTCGGAGGCCGGCCCGGGCCAGGGTGGCCACGCCGCTGGCTCAAACGATGCACTTCGGCTCCCACCTTTCCAGCCAAGCCTGGCGTTTAGGCTTAAGGTTTTAGGGTTTAAGGTTTAGGGTTAAGAGGTTAGGCTTAAGGGTTAAGGGTTTAGGGTTTATAGGGTTTAGGGGTGAGGAATTAGGGTTTAGGGGTTTAGGGCTTAGGGCCAAAGACTCCAATATCCTTTAATTACGGAATAGACCTTAAATTGTAGTAGGATCCCTAATATGAGTTGAGGTATATTCCTTCATTAGGGGATATTGTCGCCGGAAACCGCGGTTGAGAGCAGGCGTGCAATGGTTAGCGAAAGCGGAGGGGGGGGGGGTGGTTGAGGTGTAGACCTGCAGGGCATAGGGCGCTGTAATCTTGAAAGGGCTTGGGGTCCTTTCGAGGATCTAGGGCTTACCAACAACAGCAGTAAGGCTGCGAGTCTGTAAAGGTTTAATGGCACTGATCCTATGTGGAGCCGGCCTCGGGGCTCGTGAAGATTCAACAAAAACCCAGGGCGGGTCATCGCTTACGGCTGAAGGGTTGGTAAGCACGGCTCAGGACTTAGTAGGTTTGTGGGGATTTGGGCTTCGGGTAATTTGCTGTGGTTGCGTTGCGACGACGAAGCAGGAATCAGAATCAGCAGCAGCGGGAAGAAGACAAAGACAGAAAACAAGAATAACAACAACAACCAGAGATGCGGCCACAGCCACCACCACCACCACCAGCAGGAGCACCAGCAACAGCAATGACAACAACGAAAACAAGCACTACCACAACAACCAACACCAACACAACCACAACTACGACGACGGCAACCCCAGCAACAACAAAGAACCTTCAGAACTTTCAGAACCGCCACCACAACTACAACCGCCACGACACAACGACAACAGCGGCGACAGTAAGAGCGATCTCTGTCACCCTCTACACATGGGAGTTTCCGAAAATTAGGGGTACCTTATTTTGGGGTCTCTATGAGAACAGTCCTGCTGTTAGGGTACTATGTTAGGACCCCTATTTTCGGAAACCCCCACCTCAGCATCAAGGACAAGCAGAAAAAGTGTAGAGGGTCTTAGGAGATGGGATCCAGGCTTCCGGCTTTGTGGTATATATATAATATATATATATATATATATATATATAATATATATAATATATAATATATAATATATAATATATAATATATAATATAATATATATATATATATATATATATATATATATAACATATAATATAATATATATATATATATATATATAATATATATATATATATATATGTATATATATATATATATTATATTATATTATATACACTACCTTTGGAGGATGTGGGTTCTTCGATTTCGTGGCGTACGAGTCTTGTTGTGCCCTTCGAGCCGACACGGGACACCGAGTGGTGCAGGCAAAGCTCGGATGTCGAGACCGTAGCGACTCAGATGCAAGGAAAGGTTTGGCGGCAGCCGGGGGGGGGGGGAGGGGGTTCCGAAAATTCGGCGTACCTTATTTTGGGGTCCTTATAATAAGGACCCTACTATATTTAGGTTACTGTATAAGGGTTCCCTATTTTTAAGGCTTCTGCTGCCTCGGGGAGCCCAGCCCAGCACGCGGCGGTCCAAAAGCCGCGAGCACCTGGGTCGCAAGCTCTGCCCGGATTCGTGCTCCAAATCCAGACCGGCCTTGCCGCGCATGCGCGGCAAGCGTAGCCATGGCCCAGGCATGGCCCATAAACACGGGTTTAACGGTCTTTTCGGCATGAGACTTGGCCAGGCTGAACTGACTTTGTGAGGATGCGAGGCAGTGCAGGCCGCAGTAAAACAAGTGATGGGATGGCTTGAACTCACAGAAACTGTTCGGGAGTTTGCACTTCTGCTGGCTAAGCCCCGAGCCTATTTACAGTAGGGACCATACCAGGCTTGATTGATGCAGCAATCCAAACTTGCGCATACTGTGTCGCTTGGCCTTCAGAAAGGCGAACGATGGCTGGGCAATCGGAGACACATGCTTGCAGTTTGGACCGAAACACACACGAGGTGCCTGATAAAAGCGCTGTTGCGATGACAAAGGCCTGTCGGAGTTGGCAGTAGGAAGTCGACACAGCTCTTTGCCAAACGGTTCAGGGCCCTAGATTGCCGTCCTCATGCAATGAGCAGTTGGCATGTGCGCCCCTACTTGGAGGATCATGGGACTTAGTAAGTAAGGTTATAAGTACCTTAATTGGGGTTATAAGTATAGTTACCCTAGTTATAACCCCAGTTACTAAGTCCCATGATCCTCCAAGTACCGCATCAAGCGGCTCAAGACCCTGAGCCGCCTCGAAGCTTTCTGACCCCGTGCAGCCAGGAAGTGCATGTTGTTCATGTAGGCCGTCTGAGCTACTCTGAATATAGGGCCCTGAATAATCAGAATAGGGTTTTGGGGTATATTCTACTATACTTATAATAATAGGAACCCCCAAAATAGCAGTGGTAATTATTTAGGCCCCATAGTATACTCATCTACTGGCCAGTTCGGAGGAGACGATTCGCAAAGGCGCCGTCCTCCCGAAACTTGACTGCGAGGCAGGGCCGCGCTCCAATAGATTGCGAGGTGTCGAAGGCAGAACCTGACCCAAAATGTGCCAAAACACCAGAAGTGTCATTTTGGACTCATGTTGCCGATCCTTTGAGTGCCTTTCAATGTGCCATCTTCAGGTGACTATCTCTCCGGTGCAGTGGATGCAGAGCTCTACTCTCTTTCATGGCGTTGGCCGGGCTGGCGAGGCACGAAGCGATTTCCGCGAAAAAAAGCTTCCCTCTGCGAAGCTCTTGACGAATGTGGACCCTGCAGTGATACAATGGCGTCCGGTGAAACGTCTTCAAAAGTTATAATGCGTCAGAACGCAGCTTAAAAATGCCAAGGTCGGACTCGGGTCTTTCGAAGCCCGAGTAATCCCTGGACTCAGGCTGACATTGTAACAGTAACATTGGAGCACCATTGAGCACCCAATCAAATTTCGAAAGTAGAGGACTCTTCCGACACGTCGGTTGCAGAGGCCATCAGTTCCGGCACCTGCAGGTCGTTGGCATCAGACAACTCCAATGACACCTGCGGTGCCGACGTCTTGCCATCTTGTATAGGTGCGCCTCCGATGATGACCGACTTCCGGCAGGGACATAGATGACGAAGACCGAAGATCACGCTACACAAGGCCACCAAGCTGAGCAAGTACAGGGGCAAGGGATCCAGGGGAGATGTCAACACCGTCCAGTTGTCCTTGCTGACTGCGATGCAGACCAGATAGCCCACGATCCACAACAAGCTGAGGAGGAGCAAGGACACCGCTTGGCAAGCGACAACTATATACCTAAACCAAGACCGCCTCCACCACGAAGTGCTGGCTCTGCCTAGCATCAGAAGACTGCGGAGGAAGATCGGCATACAAAACAACATGTAGACCGCGAGGCCAAAGTTGTTGATCGGCTTCGCACGAGGCCAGACTTGAACTACTTTGGCACCCTCCTTGCCAATAAAGTCGCACAAAAAGGGAAAGGAACCGATCGCAGCGGCAGACATCAACGGGCGCATGAGAATCCCACTGTGTGTAAAGGCCTGCTCAACCGACTCTCGCAAGTGCTTGTCCAGATGGCTTTTGAAGACATGCTGGATCCGCCGCGCACTCCCTTCCTCCAACACAGTGTAGCCGGACGACCACAGCTGCAATACGCCATAGATGAGCTCACGGTCGCACTGGATCTGCTCTCCAGTCACAGATTGTCGATGATTGTTGGAGCAGCAGAAGCATTCGGCGGTCTCGATGTCGAAACTTTGCAGCTGGGTGGGCAACTGGGCCATGTCGAACAGCATCTGGTTCATGAGATAAAACAGGGGCGGATAGAGGACACCAACCTGAATTGCAATCAGTACGCCAACATTGATGATCCGTCCGGTGTCGTCATGCCAATTGCGTAAGAGCTCGTTCCCGTGCCGTTGGAGCAGCAGGAAGGACAGCCATGTCGTTGTCACAGCAAAGTAAGTCAGGATCCATATAACAGAAATTTGCACTGGCAAGAACTTGATTCGGTGGGCGTCCTTGCGCTTAATCAGGAAGCAGGCAATCTCGTACCTGAAGCGCAGGGCGGGTGCCGGGCATGGTATATAAACTAATCGCTGGCATGCATTTAGCCCAAAACCCAAGCCTTGCCCCTTAACCCACCCAAATCCATACCCAACTCATAGCCCCAATGAGAAAGGTGCAGGCCGGCAGAGCAGAGACCTGTCGGACTATTTACCTTAAGTAACACCGGTTTCGGGTTGAGAGTTTAGGCCTTGGGGCTTACGGAGTACGGGTAAGTCTAGTGCAGGATTTAACGCTTGTTAGTACCATTCCTTGGCTTTTGCTCTTCATCCTCGCTGCCTGGAAGTTTAGGCCTCCACCAATGCTTTTGCGTCATGACCTCATGCCTCCTGAACCCTAGAATGACCTTGGGGAAAACCCACTACAGGGAACGCTCCACTCTCTCTGGCAACTAGACAGGCTCAAAGGGCATACACCACAACCGGCGACAGTATCTCGGAGACCACAGCACGATGAGCTCGTCGGATTTGTTCAGGAAGGAGGCCAGGGCATAAATGCATTGACTTTTCTTCTTTGGGTCATCTTGAGGTATACACAAACGATCAAGAAAGCTAAAGCGGGTCCCCCAGAAAATTTCACGCAGGTGTTGCCAGAAGAGCAGGAACATAATTCCGACCACATGCCCAAGCACCGTCCACCAAGCATTCCTCTGTAGAACCCATCCGTCCGGCATATCCCGTGTCCATGCACCTAGGACACCCAGAACCACGCTCGTGACACACGTCGCTGTTGCGGCTGCACGGCTGTTGAAGTAGATCACCAGTGACAAGTATTTCATCCACCCGGATGTTTCCCAATCATGACTGAAGAAGAAGCTGTAGCGCTGCGTCTGCTTGGATAGTGCCGGCCTCCATAAGAAGGATCCTGGTTCACTGCCCCTTCTCCATTCGAGCCCAAAGCGTCTTAAGATGCTGCTCATGGGCACTCCTCGCACCAGCTCAGGTGGCACATCGACCAGCAAATCCTCCGATCGCCTAGGGACGGTGCCAGAACCTCCTGTGCCAGGAATGAAGAGCTGTGCTACATCTGCGGACAACTCTGGCGAGTAATCACCGGATGCTGCGTTGTGGGATTCAGAAAGATCGCGCATGGAAGGTGCCGATCCAGCACTTCGAGCCGAAAATCTAGAGGCAGCAATGCGTCCAAGGCTGAGATGTGGGAAGAAGATGCCTCGGCCCACGGCTAAGTATTCACGAGACAGAAGCGAGACCTGCCTCGGGCAGCCCAGCGTCGCCTGGCCGAGGCGACAGGCTTTGCTCTGCTTCGCAGCAGTTTCTTTGAGCCGACGGCCTCACCAAGCTCTGCAGATGCGAGCTCCGTGTCCATGCGAAGGGCTTCCAACGTGTGATCCAGTCTGTCGTCGCTCCGTAACAGCTGCAAAGAGAGATTGCATGCTAGCCGATGTGAGTTCGAGCTCGAAAATCTTGCGCAGAGTTGGGGTGGGGTCAGTAGGCTGTATTGGAAGCGCGCATGATTCGTCTGACCTACGTCAATCTCATCCTGCTGTCACTACGTCTGCAGTCGTTGGCACATGTTGGCACGCTGGCTCCTTCAGCATCAAGCAGCCAAAGCGCATGAGCTGCCTCATGCAGCCTCCAAGCTCCCTGACGCAATCTGTGAAACGAAGGAAGCGCATGTTATTCATGCACAGCCCTCTGAGCTACTCTGCAAATTCAAACATAGGCCGCGTTCTGATGAGGCGGTTCTCAAGGACGATGTCCTGCCGAAGCTTGAAGAAGACAGCAGGGAGTGCAGAGGACCGATTTGAATAACAGGACGTGCGGCAAACAGAACCTCGCCAAAAAAAGCGACTAGCCACCTTATTCGGGGGGAAGGCGTTCTGGCAGTCTGCTGGTCTTCCTGCTGCCGTCCTGCTGGTCTGCAGGTGCTGTCTTGCTGGTCTCCTACTAGTCTCCTGGTGGTCTCTTGGTGGTCACTTCATGGTCTCCCTGTGGCATTGTCGTTGTGGTCGTCCTGGTGGCAGTGGGTGGTAACATGGCGTAAATGCTGGAATCTGCTGGAAAAGCACAGATGGCAACTAGTTGCGACCTGTGCTTTCCCAAGCAAGTCAGGCCCGTTCGCATGTGACTTTGGTCGTGACTTTCTGGTTGTGATAGCATGCCTTGGAAAATGTCGGCACCTGCAGGTGGTTATTTGAACTAGGACTGCTGCTTGGCACACTCGTTGATTACACTTGTTATGTATGCTAGGGGCATGGTATGATGTAGATTAGCTGCCAAGTGCGAGAAGCTGAGGGCAGGTTCTGGACCTGCATTGGAAATCGCCTCGTCTTGCGTGATCTGGGTCGTAACTGTGCAGTTTCTGACCTTCCCAACTCCAAAACAACACCTGCGGAGCAAGATCCCTCCGGACTAAAGTCTGAAAGTCATGCCGAGAAGTAGCCGAAGCCTCGTAACCAGACATGACCTTGAAACCCTGCGTGGAGCTCTCTTTCACGCACCAGGGCCTGCGTGGCACGTGGCACGAAAATATTTCATCTCCTCGAAAGAATCTTCTCTCTGAGAAGAATTTGGACAATGCAATGACTTATACAATGTTGTCGAGTGAAACCTGTTGATGCCCATGACTCTGGCAGAACATCGTGGAAATGCCATTGTTGGACTCGGATCTTCCCGAGTAATCCCTGGGCTCAAGAAACATTATCATTGAACCACTCAATCAAATTTCAAAGGTCGACTCTTCCGACACGACGGATGCGCCGGCCGTCATTGCCGGCGCATGCACGTCTTTGGCATCAGACAGCCCCAATGCCACCAGTGGTGATGCGGGTTTCTTCCGCGCCTTAGGAGGTGCGCCTCCGATGATGACCGCATTCCGGCAGGGGCATAGATGACGAAGACCGAAGATCACGCTGCCCAGGATCACCAAGCTGAGCAGGTACAGGGGCAAGGGATCCGTGGGCGACGTCATGCTCGTCCAATTATCCTTGCTAGCTGCGATGCAGACCAGATAGCCCACGATGAAGAGCAAGCCCATCAGGAGCAAGGACACCGCTTGGCAAGCGATAACAATGCACTTGAACCGAGACCGATTCCACCGCAAAGTGCTGGACTTGCTGAGCATCAGAAGACTGCGGAGGAAGATCGGCATCCAAAACAACATGTAGACAGCCAGGCCAAAGTTGTTGATCGGGCTCGGGCGCGGCCAGATTTGCACTACTCTGGCACCCTCCTTGCCAATAAAGTCGCACAAAAAAGGGAAGGAACCGATCGCAGCCGCAGACATCAACGGGCGCATGAGAATCCCACTGTGTGTAAAGGCCTGCTCAACCGAAATCCGCAAATGCTTGTCCAAATGGCTTTTGAAGACATGCTGGATGCGCTGCACACTCCCTTCCTCCAACGCAGTACTGCCGGACGACCACAGCTGCAATACGCCATAGATGAGCTCACGGTCGCATTGGATCTGCTCTCCAGTCACAGGGTCTCGATGATTGTTGGAGCAGCAGAAGCATTCGGCGGTCTCGATGTCGAAACTTTGCAGCTGTGTGGGCAACTGGGCCATGTCGAACAGCATCTGGTTCATGAGATAAAACAGGGGCGGATAGAGGACACCAACCTGAATTGCAATCATTACGCCAACATTGATCTTCCCGCTAGTTTCATGCCAGTCAAAGAGCTCGTTCCCGAACCTTTGGACCAGCAGGAAGGACAGCCATGTCGTTGACACAGCAAAGTAAGTCAGGATCCATATAACTGAAATTTGCACGGGCAGGAACTTGATTCGATTCGCCTCCTTGCGCTTGATCAGGAAGCAGGCAATCTCGTACCTGAAGAGCAGGACAGCGCACGGCAATCGCTTCCGGGCACTTCACCACCGCAACAGTGCATTATGCAATGGGCTATAAACGGCTCAAGCAATAAACCACAAACCCCAAAACCCCAGGTTCATATCCACATTCAGGCCGATTGGCCAGGGCGATATCGGACCATTCATCGTCAGTAACACCGTTCTTTGGTCTTGAGTCTCGGGTCTGGAGAATCTGAGGGTTCGGGCTTTTCGGTTTAGGGTTCAAACCCCACCACCACCACCTCCTCGCGACCTCCTTTCCAGGTCTCCGCTGCGACCTCATGCCTCTTCCCCCGTAACAGTGATTGCAGAAGTTCACACCAACAACCCCTGCTACAGCGACTGGAAAAAAGCGACTGCTCCACTCACTCGCGACTATTTAGATCGGATCAAAGGGCATACACCACAACCGGCGACAGTATCTCGGAGACCACAGCACGATGAGATCGTCGGATTTGTTCAAAAAGGAGGCCAGCGCGTAGACGCATTGGTTCTTCTTCTCTGGGTCATCTTGCGGTATACACAAACGATCAAGAAAGCCAAAGCGGGACCCCCAGAAAATTTCACACAGGTGCTGCCAGAAGAGCAAGAACACAATTCCGACCACATGCCCAAGCACGGTCCACCAAGCAGTCCTGGGCAGAATCCATCCGTCCGGCATATCTCGTGTCCATGCACTTAGGACACCTAGTGCCAGAGACATGACACAAGTCGCTGTTGCGGCTGCACGGCTGTTGAAGTAAATCACCAGCGACAGGTATTTCATCCACCTCGATGTTTCCCAATCATGACTGAAGAAGAAGCTGTAGCGCTGCGTCTGCTTGGAAAGCTCTGGCCTCCATAAGAAGGATCCCCGTTCACTGCCCCGTCTCCATTCGAGCCCAAAGCGTCTTAAGATGTTGCTCATGGGCACTCCTCGCACCAGCTCGGGCTGCAAATCAACCAGCAAATCTTCCGATCGCCTGGGCACATATTGGGTTTTTGGGACAACCAGGATGATCCTAGATGCGCAGGGCTTACTATAGTGGTTTCTTCCCGAACCACTCACTGAGAAAACTTCTTTCCGGCAAACCTTTGGTCACCTATCCTTGTGGCTCAGCCCAGCCTGGAACGAAGGGATGACTCGGAGAGGAATGGGGAAGAACCTCCCGTGCAAGGAGGGAAGAGCTCTGCTGCATCTGCGGACGGCGCATCCAAATAAGACGCCGCCCAGTGCGCATGGCTAACACCAAATTCCGGCGCATGATCACCGGATGCGACATTGTCGGATTCAGAAAGATCGCCCATGGCAGCTGCCGCTCCTCAGATCTTGGCAGCTCGAGCCCAATAAGCAAGAGGAGGCTGAATGGCAGAGTTTGTCCAAGGCTGAGATGCGCGAAGAAGATGCCCCAACCCAAAAAGATTAGTATACTATAATATACTATAATATAATATAATATACTATAATATACTACAGTATACTATAATTATAGTATACAAAAATGAGAACCTGCCTCCGGTAGCCCAGCTGCCAGGCTCGTACTCGCCGGAGGCACCGTGATCACCTGGCCCAGGGCGCCAGGCTTTGCTGTTTGAAAGTCAGGCTGGGAGCGAGCTGATATTACAGTATATTATAGTATACTATAATTAGTATACTATAGTATACTATAGTATACTATCGTATATTATAGTATATTATAGTATATTATAGTATATTATAGTATACTATAGTACGTTATAGTATATTCTGGTAGGTTATAGTATATGATGGTATAGTATAGTCTCGGCCTGAGCATGGAACCCAGTCATGGCCAGGCATGGGCAGAAGCTGAAGGGTTGCTTACAAGCGAAGCTGAAGGGTTCGGGACTTCGGCTCTGCCAACGCGTGATTCAGTCTTCAGCTAGAACCGGAGCTGCAAAGAGTGCTGCGATGCAAACGGTGAGTTCTAGATGATTCTAGTCACACAGATGGTGAGCAAGACGTCTGATTTGAGTGACCCTGCACATTCAGACATACTGAGATAAACCGGAGCTTCATGGCTGTATATCAATCGCATCCTTCACTGATTCACGCGTGCAGTCGTTGGCACGCTCGCTCCTACGGCATCAAGCAGCCAAAGCGCATGAGCTGCCTCATGCAGGCTCCAAGCTTCCTCATGCAATCTGTGAAACGAAGGAAGCGCATGTTTTTCATGCACAGCCCTCTGAGCTACTTTGTAAACTCAACTACAGGCCGAGTTCAGACGAGACAAATGGCAAGGCCATCCTACCGAAGCTTGACGGCAAGGCGGACAGCACAGCTGTTAGCGCGAAGGACCGGATTCGCAGCTGAGTCGACCGCAAGCACGCAGCAATGCTGGTGACTCCGCATACACGACATCACATCGCCAGTACCTGCTTATGCACAGAGCAGGCTGCTCGACTGAATGTGTACGTCTAGTTGCACCCCCTGCACCTGAAAGCCGACTGCCATCAAAAATGTCAGAGAGAGCTGGCTTACCGACAGAGTGAACCAGTTTTGAGGAGTTTGGCTTGCCTGAGTCCCCTGTTTGTTGTATTCTACTGCGCGTTGCCGCTACCATTTGTTAGGAGATACTCTCTGCTAGCAAGAATCATCCTCGGGGAGCTGTGCAACATATGACAACTAGAATAATAACATCTGGCTCTCCTCTTCCGGACACCGCGGCCCCGCAAATCACGGGCCAACATTGAGACAGCTTCGGAGAAGAAGTCCGGAAACCAAATCTGAGCATCATAATGATGGGCGTGATTACTTTACGCTATGCTCCTGTAGTTCTCCCTCTCAGATCATCTCTGCACACGCATCATATTTCAAGACCCAAACCCATATACTCTCCTGACCCCGAAGCCGAAACCCGATTGAGCCTGGTTGCTGCGCCTCCCTCGGACAGCCTCATGTCATCGAACCGCATCAACCCCTGTAGAAATCGTGTAGAAACCCTCGCAGGAGAAGTCCCGATGCGCACCAAAGCTTCCCGGGGCCATCTCCGGCCGGCAGGATGCGGGCCGTATAGTGTAGGTCCGGCCTAAGAAAACCCTGCGACGGACCGACGTGACCTACGAGCATGCAGCAAAGAACACTCCCAAATGCTCACTGACGATCATTTAGGAGTCAATACTTCGTGCTTGCTGAGTGGGTTGCTGATTGCTTCTTTGCGATGTTGCTTCTCTCAATGTGGGGGAGGAGGCAGTCAGCTGTGGAGCAAAGTGAATGTCACAGCTCTCTACCCACAGTGTTCAAATCTGGCTGGTGAAAATTATGTGCTCTGCTCGTCGAGCAGACATTGCATCAAGAGATGCTAGATGTGCAATTGACTCGCCGAAGGTGTACAAAGCAACGAGCAAACACGGGCAACTATGCAGCATCTGCGATTTCTGCAGCTACGTTGCGCGAACATTGGCAGACCGCTTCAGTAATCCGAAATCACTTACAACGACTGCCATGTATCAGTTCCGACAAATACAGAGCCAAGTGTGGCAGTGCTCGGTACGTGGGAAGAACAGACGATTTGTCGTCCAGTCACAGCTAAACGCAGAGAGAAGTGAAGCTTCAGGAAATGAACTCGTGGCCGCAAAATCTCGATTCTGAACCTGGGGACGCTCTTCCCACGCTAAAGCTATTTATCCGAGGGCCCTGCGACCACAAGGAGCTCACAGCGACCCCGGCCTCACAGTTTCGCAGCTACTGATTCTACTGCGATGGCGAGGTTCAGGGTGGGTTGGGTGGGTTGCTCTAACTTTGTGGCGGATGCTTGCAAGCCTACTTACCATCGCATCAAGGGAAACTGTTTTCAGCGAAATTGAGGTTTGAGATTGTTGCTACAGCACCATGTCTCATCACCGCACCCTGTACTCCAAGACTGCTGCTGGCAATCATCACCGTTAATGACCGTCAACATCACTGTTGCATTCATGCGATGAGTTGTGCCAACTGTTGTGGTTGCCTGCGGTTATAATTCTTTACAGAATTGTGTACGGCCAATGTCTTCGTTCATCAAACCGTGTGCTGACACCACGGGTCTCTTACGTCGGGAGTACAAAGATTTGGTTTCTGGGCGCGGAACCACTGCGGCTCAAGCTGTGGCGCGGTCAACACGTTGAACGAAAATCGTGAACTTTCCTTTCCTGACATTGTGCTCTCCCTAACCCCTAGACCCTAAACCCTAAACCCTAAACGATGCATCGCACACCTGCCGCAGCGTCATGTGGTGATATTTCAGAACTCCGCTTCTGGCGGCTCGTGACTCCCGAATCGCTCGCAGTCGGGCCACACTATTCGGCTCCTCGGGGGATCCTTGGTGTGGTCTCACCGAACCAGTCTGTGTTTTGGTCCAATCATGAACCCTCCACATTTGGGGATGCAGTTCGTCTTCCCACCAAACTCCCTGCACCTTTATCGTGTTCTCAGTCACAATTCGGTGCGTGTTCTGGGACCCATGGAGTGGTCCAGCAACGATTCTTGGATATGTAGGGTTGGGACGGCCAGGTCCTGTGGCTGTCGCTAATGCTAGCAATGCTGCCATTACCGCGACTGTTGACTATCACTAGAATCGCTAGTTATGCACATACTACTATTCGCATGCTTTCTGATTCTAGCATTGCTCGAGTTAGTTCTATTCTACCAATCCTGACCGTGCTAGTACCGGTATCAAGAGAAGCAGTGTTGGTGATGCGACTTTTACAAATTACTGCTGCTGCTGTTGTCGCCGACTACACTGGTCTTATCAGGATCGCTTGCTAGCTACTTCGATTCGTGCTCCGACTGCCAGTAATTATACTAGTATCGGGAATTACTACTTCGAACATTGCTCTTTCATGCGCTCAGCCAAGTGAAAACTGTATGTTTATGTATTACTAGTACATGCTACGGTTAGTGTACCATTCCGCTTCTACTGCCACTCTGCTGTACTCAACGAAGATGATTCCCACTTGGCACATTGCTGATCTCTCACGCACTGCATATGCGCGCATGCGTGTGACTGCGTGTGAGTGTCCGAAGGCGCGCGCGCACACACGCTGCAGATCGCTGCAGGAAACGTAATAGAAAGGCCGGAAGTGAATGCTGAATTCAACTGAATTCCCAAATACCTCGAGCCAACAAAATCACGGCAGGGTAGAAGACCTGTCCTGGCCTCTTCCACTTCCGGCGAGGCGATCACGTGATGGAATTGTGATCTACCTCGCCCGACTTGCAGATTTTGTTTGACTTAACCACACCGACTTCAAAGGCAGAAAACAGCAGAAATAGGTATGGTCATCGGTGATGACGAGGCAACGGTGGTAGTGACCTGGCATTGATCATGCACTATGCAGACATGAAGGTCACAGTTTTAGCAACAGTAGCGGTCGTCGTCGTAATGGCAACTATAGGTATGCAGCTGTCTAACGGCTGGAAAATGAAGCAGCAGGAGTGGTCGTAGTAGTAGTAGTAGTAGTAGTAGTAGTAGTAGTAGCAGCAGCAGTAATAGTAGTAGTAGGCACGCCCCGTACCAACGACACTTGCTCTACACCGTCTTAACAGCACATCCATGTAACTCGTTATTTGCGGCACTTTCGGAATCTCCTACCACTTCTTCTCGTCTCAAAATCCACTTGTCTTGCAAACTCGAGCTTGGGGTTTTGGAAGGGTGCAGGGGGGGGGGGGGGGGGGGGGGGGGGCGATTGTCCCGCGCTGTAAGACCGAACAATAGCTCATCTCATCTATCCCGTCCCATCCGATCCCATCCCGTCCCGTCCCGTCCCATCCCATCCCATCCCGTCCATCCATCCATGCATCCATGCATCCATCCATCCATCCATGCATCCATCCATCCATCCATCCATCCATCCATCCGCCTACACATGCGTCCTTTCGTCTATCCATGCATTTTACAAACCAGTCTATAAATCCTCCTACCTCCCCCCTGGCGCAGACGTGACGCATCCACCGAGAAGATCCGAGCAGGTTGCCATTTCGAGGCCAACATGATGCCAATATAAACAATTTGCAACGGGACGGAGAGGATGCGGACATGCTGGCAGCGCCGAGTGAGAGGGGAGCAGGAGTCGTCGTGGCACCACCCGCACAGAGCCATTTCACGCGATCGAACACGCACTGTGCACCACCGGGCTACGCCATTTTGCGATGCACAGCTGCCGCTCGTCCTGCCCCATGCGTATGAAAGCAGACATCTCTCTCTGATCATGCCAGGGAACTAGGACACAAACTCACCAGCACATCACGTCATGCCATCGAAACCACATCCATCAAAAACCTTTCGCCATGCTGTGATATGCTGTGGGCAATAACTCAAGAAACAAAATTGGCTTCGCTGGGAGCAGGGCTCTGGTAGGTGGGCGGCTGCAAGCCGGAGTGCAGCTCACCAATGCGGCCTCGTGGTTTCGAGCTTTAGGGTCAGGGTTGTTGAGGGGTTGCTTTTTGGGTTTAGGATTCCCTGTCACTGTACTTGAAGCATCAGTGGATTAAGTAAGTGGAGGTATAGGTATGGTAGGTGTCGTTCTAAGTAATTGAAGCCACACCGAAGGCATTTACTCGCTCAGGGCCTAAACCCCTAAACCCCTACACCCCTTAACCCTCAACCCTAATATCCGGTCTTTGCTGATCTTCGCTCCTCCCGGCTTTGTTCGACTCATTGGGCCAAGGCTTCAGCTTTTCACTTGGGCTTAGGATTCAAGACCACGGCCTCAGCAGAATGCCTTTTAGCTGCAAAGTTTTCTTATAACACTAGCCGCTTGATACCCGACAAGGCAGGTAGCTGCCTACAAGACGCGGCTAGCCCTGGTAGGAAACCTTTGGGGATCCCGTAAATGCCAACTCCTGGGCAAAGCCTCAACACCAAGCCACATAACAAGTAAACCCAACCTTAAAAGCCCCAAATCCCTGTACCCTCAAACCACCTAATCGCTGAAAGCCCGTCGGCCCCACATCACAAACGCTAGTAGCCCTACAGCTCTCAATCCGAGACCCCAGCACAGCAAGTCCCGCACAACACCCTCCAGCTGGGCAGTTGTCAAAATTATGGTCCCTTTTTCGGGTCCCTCTTATAATAATACGGCACCTATTATTTAGGGTGCCCCAAAAAGGGACCCTAATTTTGACCAACCACCCCCCAGCTGCTGAGGGAGAAGCGGGTCACCCAAAGACGCAGCCCGGCATCCTCCTGCAGCAACCGGGTACTTAAAGGATCATGGGACTTAGTAACTAGGGTTCCTTAAAAGGCTCCTTTAAGGGATCTTAGGCTCTAGTTAAAGGATCATGGGACTTAGTAACTAGGGTTATAATTAGGGTAATTATACTCATAACCCCAATTAAGGTACTTATAACCTTACTTACTAAGTCCCATGATCCTCCAAGTATCCAGAGAGCCCCAAAGGGACCCCCTTGGACCAAGAAATGAATACCATTACAGTTATCGTAGCCCTTACGAAAGTATCACCATGATCGTCATCGTAAAGTCGTAAAGACCACTACGACTCTGATGCTCTTCTGTCATACTCAGTAGCATTATCACTATGATCATTGTTCTGGCTTAAGATATCGTCTTTCGCTACGGGGTATTGGGCGCAATGGGCACTGAGGCTTTCAGGCCGAACATCCGCATCGGCTCTGGGCTTCCGAGAGGTCTTTATAGGGCTTTCAAGTTAAGTTTGAGCATTCAACGCCTTCAAAACAAGGCTTCAGGCCGTGGAAGATTTGGGATTGAGGGCTTGGGGTGAGATTGGGGGTTTGAGGTTTGGGGATGTGGCTGTCGAGGTTCTATGCTTCAGGGGGGAACTGGTTGCCGTGCGTCAACCCTTAGCATCATGGCGTATCGTGGGGGCAACCGAACTCTCCAACCACAGTCCAGGAGAATCACGTGCTCACACATGGTTACGGAACCAAGCCTGCAAGCAAGAGGCGCTTGTACTACGGTCGAAAGAGGTCATTGTTGCTGGTCTGCACATGCACTGCTGTTGTTTTACTCTTCCGATGATCTCTGCAACCGCAGAAACTGTGTAGCGATTCCAGTGCCACCAGTACTTATGCCACTACTGCCAGTATCGAAACCGTGGTAGCTGGACGCAAGTATACTTTCTGTGGGTTGTCTGCCACCACGCCTACTAACACCACAGGCACGTTCATTCTTGCCGTGGTCACCAGTATTTCTGGAAGTACGGTGCACTGCTAGTTTCTGCACCTATGCCTTCGGGAAGATGGAAAGAGTCCGCGGCTGTGCCTACTTCCAGGCACAGTCCTCTAGCAAGTAAATCCGCGGCGCCATATCCAGCCGCCTGTCAGGTGTCTCCTCCAAGCATCCGACTCTGCAGCTTTCTGTTTTCTTTGAGCTGCGGGGCGCGATTTACTAGTTCCTAATCGGCAGCAATCCCTAAACTCCGAACCCCTAAACTGTTATACCTGTACGCAGAGTTCCTGCGCTAGCTTGCTGAGGTGCTGCTGGCACCGGTCTGGCACTCGTCTTGCATGGCACTATGAATGACTGCTTGCGATCTCTGCGAGAGCTCCTGAGAAGTACTGCAACCTATTCCGATTCTACGGGTAAGGGGTGCAAAGTAAAGGCAGGTAAACGTGAAGATTTTCGTAACGGTAGAGTTACAATATACGAGGAGTATAACGGCTGCCATGATTGGAGTCTCCTGGATGTGGTTCCTGAGGTCGCAAGAGACGGATTTCAACGCGGATGTCACCAGGAAGCTGCAGTTCTAGAAGGGCAGGCACAGGATCCGGAAGGTTGATCTAAGAGGGGTTTAGGGCTGCAGGGGCTGAGGATTTAGGATCTAGCGGTTATTCAGGACTAGTAGGGTCTAGGGGGTTCCGGGCTTTATGAATGCAGAATTTCGGGTTAAGATTCTGATTTGTCACGTGGCTGCATGAGATAGGTACCGGCAGTAAGAACAGACTGCCGCAGGAGGGCCACACCGCGCTGTACTTCATCTCACATACCGGTCAGGCATCTCGGCATGAAGGAATATGGCTTAAATCATAATATGAAGCCCCATATAATTTAAGCCATATTCCTTAATTAAGTAGTATTGGGTTTTCTGAGAGCTTCCGGGTTCGTAGTCTTCGTCGGTTTGGGTTTCGGGACAAGGCAGGGAGCAAAGGGCCGGATGGACGGAGAATGATAGTGATAGCAATGTTCGATATACTAATACGCTGTAAAGCTTGGAACGAAAAAAAGAAACTAATGGTAACCCTGCTACCAATAATTGTAAGTAGAACAAGGAGCATAGTGCTGGTAGGTATTGATTTGGGACACAGGAACTGGTGCATCACCTTCCCTGGGACCTCTGGAGGATGACGGTGCAGAGGTGTGCCCAGCATGCTTGCAGAATCAAGGGACTTAGTATAAGGGTTCAAAACAAAAATCACCGTAAAAGGCTCTTTCAGGCTAGCTACTTAAGAAAAGACCCTACTTTCTCAGCGAAGTAGGGCCTTAGGGTTTTGGGGTTTCCAGGGTTCTTGTTGAGCGATTTTTTTCAAAGTTACCATGATAAGGAAACCATATGATTTACTATAGATCCCTACTATGGTAGCTTAAATGATATAAGTTTCTAAACCAGAGCCCAGTTTAGGGGGAGCTTCTCCTGAGCTTCGGAGCTGACAGGTACAACGACTATGTGCTCTTCGTGAAGGACGGCCTCGTAGATGCTTCAAGCCCCAAGTCCCTGCTATCCCAAAGGTGTACAAGACAGGCTACATGTAGTTAAAGAGACTTTAAACATGGGGGGGGGTACTCCCCTAGCGATAGAAGAAAGCATCATCACAATCACGCTCTTTAATGGCTGAAGCAGTATCAACGAGCAGTGACGGTCACGCTAGGTAGCAACGATAATCGCCACGACGTCTAGAAACACGCTGCAGCATCCTAGAACTTCGATCGCCATGGTCAGGACTTCGGCGACGAGGCATTGGACTTCCCCGACTATCCGTCAGACCACCCTTTCACCGCTGGATGGTCTCGGCCCAAGCCAGCTATTTTGGGGCTTTAAGGTTACTGCGACGTTGTAGTTCTTACAGTAATGCTTACCTATTCCATGGTGGAGGTTCGTTTAAGTATGATGGGCCCCAACACCCTGAATTTTATAGGATCAAGGTTGTGGGTGTAGGGTTTGGAGTGCACCTGCCCAAACACCTGCCGGAGCCTGAACTCGGCTGGGAAATCGAAACCGCAGGGCAAACTGCAACAATAGAAGTAGGAATCGCCATAAGGAATATGTCAGCATCATTCGAGTTTCTGAGGGTTAGCTGTGAAGCTGCCCGCAGCCAAAGGCTCTTGGCAGCTGACGACTGGACAGCAAGCCCGATGGCTGTCCGAGCCCCTGCATGCCGCCGATCATTGGGATGCGGATGATGGTGGTGGTGGTGGTCGTGGTGGTAGCTGTGGCGGTGATGGTGGTGATGGGGATGGGTTGGATGGTGAGCAGCAGTAGCAGCATCATGTTCAAGATAGCAAATCCCGCCCGTGGCGCGAGGTGACGCTTCCGACGGATCACCCGGATTGGGGTGGATCAGCCTGGTGCTACTCTCAACAGAGCATCCAAGTTCCGAAGAGTTCTGCTTGTGGTGACAGTGGCGATGTTCATGTCAGGGCGGTTGTCAAAATTATGGTCCCTTTTTCGGGTCCCTCTTATAATAATACGGCGCCTATTATTTAGGGTACCCCAAAAAGGGGCCCTAATTTTGACAACTACCCATGTTTAGAGCTGCACGAAGAATGGACATCATCATAGACATGCTGCAAGTAGTGTACACATGAATATCACATAATCCACAGAACATACATAGGTACAGCTATATGCGGTATATATATATATATATATATATGTAGCACCAAGTCCGAAGTCTGCAAGGTCCCTTGTCATCGCCAGAGGCGCTTTGGAGGACCTAGAGCCTAAATGGGAGTTTCCGAAAATAGGGGACCCTAATATAGTCCCCTCAATAGTAGGATCCTTATTATAAGGACCCCCAAATAAGGTACCCCTAATTTTTGGAATCTCCCACCAAATCCCCTAAGAAGCCTGTTGCAGTTTGTATCAGGCTTACTTAATACTCATTGCATGTGTATGTAGGGCCTGGTTTGATAGCTAACATGCACCAGACTCTGTTTGCAAGGCGCCAGGTCACAAGTGTCGTTCTGCGCATGGCACTCGAAGCGACACCCAAGCTCCGAAGGTAGCTTGGTACAGCGCAACCTCTACACTAAACCAAGCCTCAAACCCAACGCAAACCCCTGCAGTTGTGCAAAGCGTACTGATGCTCCCTTCCCTCGAATAACGCCGGCTCCAGTCAAGAGACAGGGGGTTGGAAGGGCAAGGCTGCGGCTTGATCGTCAGCATGATTCTCGTTCGGGGTAGGGTTCAGGGTTTTTGGCTTGAGGTTAATGGTTTAGGAAGTTGAAACTTTAGGGTTTACAGCTTCCAGTCTTTGGTTAAGGGGTTATGGAGCCGCAATGCTGGGATTTGGCCAGGACACCTAGGAGACCTTCCTGCTTCATGCATGTCGAGGGCCGCGCGACATAGTCCATACTTGCTTCAAGAATCCACGCCTCTCGGGAGGAAACATAGCTTCATGCCTGCAGATGTTATGACTACTATATATATATCGCTGCAGGACAACAGGTACGACCATACCACGTGGTGAGAGCTTGTATCACGAGCTGGCGTCATGCCTGAAGGGCTACATTACATGATGGTACGATAATGTATGTCATAAAACCCTACTAAACTCCATAATAGTGCCCCTCTAAACTCCATACGGCCCCTACTAAACTCTATAATCATAAGGCCCCTACTAAACTCGACTAAGGCCCCTGCTAAACTCCATAAGGCTCCACTATGACAGAAGCACAAAGCTTCTCCAATCGTCGTCAGCCTTGAGGGGCTCCCCGGACTGTGCCGCACAGAGCGGTTGCCAGTGAACCTTCCAACTGCAGCAACAGAGTCAAGGAAGTTGAATAGGGTTTGAGGTTTAGGGTTTAGGGCTTAAGGTCAGTCTAGCATGAGACCATGTGGTACAAGTATATTCTGAAACATCGTAGGCGACACAGGCACACATTCACAGCTGCAGAGCACCACACTGACGGCCTCCTCCTGGTGTCCACCCCTGGTAGCTCTAGCAGACGTTGGTGGGCTCCACTGGCGAGTCAAATGCGCTCACAATGACAAGAGCAGACGACGTGTTGTAGTAGGCCCGAACACTTAATTTGAACGGCTTGCTTGACAGGCCGTGCAAGACGTTGCACCTTGTTCCTCTGAAGGTCATACATCAGAACCGTGTCTGGCCCGGCACAGATACCTGACGAGCTGGGAAGTCAGGGTCTGCGGCAACCCGAGTTCTACGGCGACAACAACAGTTAACAAAATCCTAGACTTGGATGAACCCAACACGAGGTGGACGACAAAGCTAGAAGCAATGCAATGATAAGAAAAGTAGTGGAAACATCTACCCTGGCCGGGAGGGCTTGGTTTTACAAACAATGGGACAGCATAATCCGAAAGTCTGGTAATCTGATGTAGGCTTGAGGCAGGATAAGAAAACCAAGGTAGGTGGTCTTGGGGTATATTAGACTAAACGGGGACTGTAAAGGTATATGGGGCACATTGTGCTGTAATCATAGACAGACTATACGAAGGTTTACGCTGCCTCCGCTGCTGCCCCTACAGTCGTCCACTGCGATGCAAGGAAGACTTTGAAATGAGAAACCAAACTACCCTGGCCCTGAATATGGTTCTGATTCCAGCCCTGGCACTGTACAATCAATCTTAAGCTATGCACCTCCATGGCCGTCTTGGAAGAAAAAGATGTACCTCAATGCGCGGTCCACCAACGACGAATCCAAGAAGACCTAGGAGTCAACCAATCGACCTAACCAGTCTCAACCAGATAGCTTGGGTAGCCGACCGGTCCCCGCCGAGCAGCTCGAAAGCCTGCCAAGACACTAGGAGAAAGAACGGGGCTGAGTGTGCCTTGGTAGTGGAGGTACTCAAACTTCCTCTCTTGCCACGAAAAAGTAGCCATCGTCGTCGTCGTTGTGGTAGATGTCGCTGTCGTCGTCCTCGTCTTCGTCTTCGCCGTTGTCGTCCTAGTCGTCGTTGCCGTAGTCGTGGTACACGGCGTTCGTCGTAGCCTTCGTCGTCGTCCTCGTCGTCGTGGTAGTACCGGCAGTAGTGGTAGTAGTAGTCGTCGTAGTATCATCAGTAGTAGCTGGTGTTGTTCTTGCAGCAGCATCAGCAGCAGGAGGCATACGAATTGCCAAAGAACGTGTGGTAGCCAGTACAAATACCGGCAGCTTGGCAAGAGATCAGCTGGAGAGCCAAAGAGCTTCTCAAGACTCCCCTTAACCCTAAACCCACCTTTGGTTAGTAGGGAATGGAAGAATGGTAGTAATAGTAGCTATAATTGTACCCCATTCCTCCATTCCCTACTAACCAAAGGTAAGTAAACCCTCGTTAAAGCCTCAAGCCTTCGACTAGGTCCTCCGCCCCGGCCTTGATGCGGCTCATGTTGACATGGACTCCGTATGGACAAGGGCCTGAGGTTCTTCGGCTCCTTCTGAACTAAGGTAACCCGTTTGGGAAATATGTGCATGCACGCATGCATATGCATATGCATATGCATATGCATATGCATATACATATAATACAGAGAAAGCAAGAAATACAGAGACAGACGGACAGACAGACAGAAAGACAGACAGACGGACAGAAAGGCAGACAGACAGACGATACACAACATGTATGTAGATTGTGTGCCAGTATGACATATGCGTTGCTGGGTCGTGAGCACTGCACTCTAGTCAGTCTAGCTACTTGCGAAACATGCACTGCAGTTTTCTGGTCGAGGAACTACAGACTCCTCGAATGATCTGCATCGTATCATGGAAATAGACGCTGCAGAGATTCCAATGTTTGACAAGCATCCTGCACCCCATGAGGCCGACACACCACTGCCCACCGACTACCGGCTTGCTCCACAGTTGACCATCCCTGCCGCCTCAGCTTCATGATTAGGTTTGGGACGGGCCTTTGGCTTCGCCTTCGGATACCAGGAGTGCGGAGTTACGGTAGACGTAAAATGCTGTGCGCTCTCGGGGTTTAGGCTCCTTCTGCTTTTAAAGAGTTTGGGGCCTCAAGGACTTCCAGACCTCCAGAATCAGGCGATGCTTCCCGAAGCAACCTCACAGAAGACAAAGGACCCCCGCCCTGTTTCAACAAAACCTTGCGGCTCCCTTATGCAAGATGAAACATTCAGGAATAGGACTACGAAGTGCAGAGGCGCCTAGGCCCTAGTCTGGGCCCTGGGCAGAGCAGGACCTTCAGCAGTTGGGAAACCTCCGACCCTCCCGGGGGTGCACAGACCTCCCCCGGGCCGGCCTGGCAACAGGATGTGACAGGTAGGGTCTTCGGTTTTGGGGGGTACAGAGGCAGTTGAAGGGAAGAGGGGAAACCTGGGATCCTTGCTAGAGCAGCGCTTACTTGAAGGCTCACGGGCAGTTACAAGTGGGGCTAAGTCCCCTAATGGCTGTTATATATACGGTTACCCTACTTACAACCCCACCTATAACTGCCCATGAACCTTCAAGTAGGCCTTTAACTCTATACCCTTATAGAATCCCTATAGATCCCTTTAAAGGGACCCTGAATGTTTCGGGCGTGTTCTGCAGCCTCGATCGGCGACGGCGACGGGCAGGAAAGGACCTCTCAACGGCCCGGAGGCCAGATGCCCAGGCTCAGAATGTAATATACTTTAAGGGTACTATAGGGGTCTATAATAAAGGGCTTCTTGAAGGGATCCTTAAAGGGGTCTATAAGGGTTCTATCTTGGAGGATCAGGGGACTTAGTAAGTAAGGTTATAAGTACCCTAACTAGGGTTATAAGTATAGTTACTAACCTTAGTTACAAAGTCCCATGATAGGGGTTCCTTTAAAAGGGGTCTATGTAAGGGCTGCTACAAGGGATCTCTTGGGGGACTATAAAACAAGGGGCTTACAATAATTAGAATAGGGTTTTGGAACCCACTTTTCTCTAATAAGGAACCCTCAAAATAGTACATATGGGTCATTACTAAGGCCCCTATAGTAGTCTCGGATCTGGAATTGTCGCGAAGCTTGGCCGAGCTGGGCACGGACCCGCAACGCCAAATCGGCTCGAATCTCCGAGGCACATATGCCGGAGCCTGATCAAAGTGACATGTGCTGGCCAGTACTGCATCAGTGTAGAACTGCCGCATCAGGCTTAGGGTTAAGGGACAAGGGCTTCGCACGAAATTCTGCAGCAGTTCACCGCCCTGCTTTGTTGCGGTGCGTGTTGAACTTGTGCCAGGCACCGCCAGCCCACCTCAGAGCAAACTACAGCAGGCACGAGCTCTCGAAACTTTAACCGTCAAATTCATTCAGTCGGAGGCGCTAACCCTAACCCTAATCCCTCAATGCTTTACGTGCAAATGAGACAAAGGGCCAAGAGCCAAAGCCTGGGCACCAAGCCAAAGTGGCTCCGCAGGAACAGCCTGCCATGGATCTTGATTGCAGGAACAGCCTGCCTTTCGGGACGTCATGTGGGGCATCTAGGGGCCTTACGAATAATTAGAATAGGGTTTTGGGGCCCAGTATACTATGTGTATAAAAAGGAACCCTCTATATTATGGGTGTCGGGCAGCATATGAAACCTCCGCTTCCGTGTCAGGCTTGCAACCCGTGGCATTGTGTATGATATGGAACGGGTAAAACACCAAACCCTTAAAAACCACCTCAAATCCTGACTAACGCAGAAAAGCCTACACGAACATAACTGCCCTGAGCATCTCGCAACAAACCCCGCTATGCGCGCAGCCTGGTCGAAAGGCCGAAGCTTTGCCGCTTTCGACAGCCAGAGAAGTGGCGGGCCTTGGCAAGGACTTCGAGTGCATGTCGAGCTTTATCCGTACCTTGTGGTACGATGCGGCTCCTCCTCCTGCTATTGCTACTGCTGCTACGCTGCTGCTGCTGCTGCTGCTGCTGCTGCTGCTGCTGCTGCTGCTGCTGCTGCTGCTGCTGCTGCTGCTGCTACTGCCACTGCCACTGCCCCTGCCGTTGCCACTGCCACTTCCACTGCTATTGCTTCGGCTGCTTTTCCTACTACTACTACTACTACTACTACTACTACTACTACTACTACTACTACTACTACTACTACTACTACTACTACTACTACTACTACTACTACTACGCTCGTCAAACCAGGATTCAAGCTCGAGTTTGCAAAGTCGACATAGAATTTATCGGCAACGATCAGTGGCAGGACATAGCGACAGTACTGTAAATAACGAGTAAAACGGATGAGGTCTTTGGAGGGTTTGGAGCAAGCGTAGTTGGTAGGGCAGGGTGCCTACTATAACTACCACCACCACCGGCACTGCTACTACTATTTCGACTACTACCACCGCCGCGACGACACGAGTCCTGCTACTGCCACTGCCACACACCTATACTGCTATACTGCTGCTGCTGCTGCTCCTGGTGCTACTGCTGCTACTATCACGCCTACTACCACTGCTAGTGATGACCATACTACTAGGACGAGGGCGGCGACCATGGCTGGTCCTAAAAGTCATAACACCCATACTGCGACTGCCACTGCTGCTGCTACTCCTATTTTACCCTTACTCCTCCTCCTCATGCTGCTTGCAAATTCGACGACGACTGCTCCTGCTGCTGCGCTATTGCAGATTCGGAATTTTTGCCATTGTCAGCGTAAGGCTCCTTATGTTCATTGCTCTTAGCTCGGTTCTTACAACATTTTGATGTGCAGCGCGTTGTATGTAGATCTATTTGTGTATACATACAAATACATATATGTATATATATATATATAATTATATATATATATATATATATATGAGGAGGATCGTTTCAACGCTTCCCACGTGCAGATTTTGGCCGATGCACGGACATCGTTGAGACGTCAGGTGCTGTAATTGGCGTGAAACAGGCTGAATGGGTCACCAACGAACATGGAACACGAGAGAACCTCCGTCCACCCCGAAACCCCAATGCCTGACCCTTGACCTCCTGTTCGGATCCTTCAATACAGAAGCCACTGGAAAGTCCCTCTGAGCAGCCAAGTATAGAAACCTTCTTCCCAAGGTCCCAGGCTTGCGACTGCCAGGGAGGATCCAGCAGCGCGTTGGATGAAGTCCTCAGGGCGGGGACTGAGCGGACCCCGGCAGGCGTTGGGGATTCGGGGCTTGGGGATAAGGGGTTTGGGATGCTGGGCTTTATGTCTTGTGGGTGTTGGCTTTGAAGGGCTGGTACAGAACCCACCCCCTCAAGTAGGCGCCGAACTTGGAACAACCAACTCCGCAGTTGTTAGGCTTTGGGGGGCCTATGCGTTTCGTTGGCTACGTGCTGGGTGTGCGTGTGTGTGTGATCCTCCTCGGTCACAGGAAATACCCATGATACTCACAAGTTGTACTCAAGCGAACGTCATCACCAGCATTGTCATCTATATCATCCTCATCGGCAGCATCAGCAGCATCATCAGCATGGCAGTCAGCATCATGACAGATGACCTTGATCATCACTAGGCTCGTCATAATGAATCAGCGTCTTGAAAAATCCATGCTTGTCAAATTGACCCTCGTGTGCAACCCCTAGAAACCCCATGTCAAGCTTAGAGTTTAGGGTTCTACTTTCTTGTTGCACTCCCACTTTTCTAACAGGTTACTCATCCCAGCCCGCAAGGCCTAAACCCCAAACCCTGAACCTAAACCGCAAGCCGCCGCCCGGCTCAGAGGCAGGCAGCGCTCGTGCTGAAGCCAGCAGGGTCCTGCGAGCAGCTCGGAGTACGTCGGGATCTTAGTTTAATACAGGGGCCTTAATAATTAGAATAGAGTTTTGGTGCCCACTATGTTACAATTGTGAAAAGAAACCCCCCGAAAGAGGATCGGTAATTATTCAGGCCCCTATGTTACATAGTGACGTGGGAGTGCGGGGTTCAGGAGTTTGGAGTTGAGGGGTCTAGGATTGTAGGGCTTACGCGATCTTGGTTGCTGGCCTCAGATTCTATCGCGCACTTAGTTATAGATTTCTCTCTCGCAGTCTTATCTCAAATTAAGTAGCTTTTACCTCCTCATGTGGGAGTTCAGACTAAACTTTGCAGCTCGGTAGGCGACATAGGCGCCTGTATCTCGACTTCGACTTCAGACCAGGTCATACAAACACAGCTTCAATAAGTCAAGCTACGTTGCAGAATGATTAAAGTAAAAGCCAGAAAGTTGGAATATGATTATCCTAAGCCCTTTATGGTAAATTATAGGGTATCCTACCCTGAAACATCTGAAACCATATTCCAACTTTCTGGAGTTCCCTTTACTCTTGGCAAATGCCAGAGTCCGCCTCTGAGCAGCCTGGTACATGATGTTTGCACTTAGGATCTGCTGGGTTACACGAGGCCCCTGAACCCCTAAACCCTATACACCTACACCTTCCCCACCTGAAGCTCTATATCCTCAGCCCGAACTACACCCCCGAACTACTAATATAGGGGCCTCAATAGTTAGAATAAGGTTTGGGGTACATCATACTATAATGGTTGTAAGGAGCCCCCAAAACCCTGTTCTAATTATTAAGGCCCCGAACTACTCCACCTACGGCCTTGTAGGCTTTCGGACTTTTGACTTCCAAGCAGGGCCTGAGCATGGGTATGGGCCAGCATGGCTGCTTGATCAATGTCCGGACAGACGGGCGCTTGGCCGGCTGGTATCGGGGCCTTAGTGATTAGAAAAGGTAGGGTTTGGGTGCCCAGGAAAAAAGGAGCCCCAAAAATGGTATAGGTAATTACTGAGGCCCCTATATTACATGGTCGAGAAACTTAACCCATCTCTGTGGCGCAGGGTTGGTTTCACTCTCCACCCGATATCCTACATGAACTCTCGTCTTATCCTTCTTCCCCGTTGAGTCATAAGCCATGCTTTGTGGCTGAGCCAAGGACAGCAAGCGTCGGACAGCGACTTTCAACAATGAAGACCCCTAAACCCTAAACCCTAAGAACAGCTCAAAGCTTCCACAGCACAACCAGTTTTCAGGGCTTAGGGCTTGGGATGGTCAGGGCTACTTAAAGAATCATGGGACCTAGCAAGTAAGGTTATAAGTACCTTAATTGGGGTTATAAGTATAGTTACCGTAATTATAACCCTAGTTGCTAAGTCCTATGATCATTTAAGGGTCTTGGGGTTTAGGGTTCGAAGTTCAGCAAGCTAGCAGCATGCCAAAGAGCCGCATTTTCCAGTCACTTGGTTGCAATCTCGCAAATTCGGATGGCACAGCCAGAGATGCTGAATGCTTTAGACAGCACAAACTGACACAGATTCTAATACAACATTCACGTAACACTCGCGTATCAGCGAGGACTAGTTCATGCTAACAAAAAGGTTTTGTGCCACCTACACTGCACCCAATGCTCAGCATTAGGGAACGACAAAAAACTTGCGCGATGCTGTCGCGTGTGTCATTAACTGCATGTGTGCCGGATGTGGTCCGGACTTGCCACTCCACACTGCTGGCCATTCACAGACTCGAACAGCTGTCCTTGTACCACTGCTGCACAGAGACTGCTGAGTAGATTTTCAGATACACTAAGTATTGGTGCTGCCGCAGTGCTTAGCGGCTTGTCTTCGTCATTCACCTTCCTAAGTCTCCGGCCTACGTAACTGACAAGGGCATCTGGCAGGCCGAAGTTGGGCCGAGCCGATCTGCCAGAGATCCCGCACTCTGGCAGTCGCCCGGTGAAAACACCAGGGTCACATTGTCTAATTCCTGCTGAATTGTGTGTTGTATCCTGCATTCTCGTGTACCGTGATGTCTGCGTTCTCACGACCAACAGAGGATTCAGTTCAGTCTGCCGGCCTGCCTCTGTCTAGACATCATCGAATTGATGGCTGAAGCGCATTGGTCTCGATGCTCCCAGCAGGTTGATCATTACGAAATCAAATCAGAGCATGTTCAGTGACTCTCAGCGTGGGAAAGCTAGCACACCTGCACGAAAGCACGCGTGGGTTTTGGGTCGCAGACGAGACGAACATTGCACAAACCCAAGGTTTCACTCGAGGATCCGGGAAGGTTCTTAAAAAAGAGGCTGCTTGATGAAGTTTGTGCTCCGGAATGCTTTCATTCTTCAAGACTAGACTTAGACTTGGCATTTCGCACGACCGACGTTCAGGTCCGAACATTCGACTCTCGAGGGATTGAATATCTGTCCAAAAACTTTGTCCTTTGGACCCTGAAACCCGAAACGTTGCATCCCAAAGCAAAACCTATAGGGCCTAGGCCCCCATACCCTAAACCCCCGAAACTGGCAAAGCTCTGAAGGGTTTGGGGTGGTCCTGAGCACCCAACTGCCTCGGCGCCAGGAACGAAAGAAGGCCTGGATGTGGCTCTCTCCAAATTGAAGGGTTATACGGTTCTGGGCTTTCATTGATCAGTAATCTGACTTAGGGTTTGAGGTTTTGGATGCTAGGGACTAGATTTTCTCAACTAGAGCCGACTGCAAACCTCAAACCGGCAAAGGCCTCTAGGGCTAATTACAGGTCAGACTTAGAGGATCTCTAGCATTCTACGGTCATGGGTCTCCTGGTTTTTCTGGCTCAAAACAAAAAACTGATCACTTGTGTTGCCCATTCAGACCAACTGCAAAATGGCTGCTACCACTTAAACGATCATGGGACTTAGTAACTAGGGTGATAATTGGGGTAACTATACTTCTAACCCCAATTAACGTACCTATAACCTTACTTGCTAAGTCCCATGATCCTCCAAGCACAAGTCCTTTGACCCCGCTTTTTTTAACTCTCCGGATCCTTCAAGCGCAGCCATGCGCTGCACCCAAAACTCCTCAAACCTTAAACCCCAAACCGCAGACCCGAAGTCCCCAAGTCCTACCTGCCACCCAGAAGACCGACATGTTGCAGTACATCTTCAGGCTTCCTTATTCCGAGACCTCTGTGTATATAGCCGCTAAAACAAGATCTCACAGGTAAACCCTGAACTCTGAAACCCTACATCCCTGAGCTCGACAACCTGAACCCCAAAGCATGGGTTTGAACAGGCCCCTGGCGCATCGGCTCTCAGCTGAGGAAGTGCAGACGGCTTGCTTGGCGCCTGGTCCACTTCTTGAGGGGAGGGTCATCGCAATTAGCGAGCCTGCTCTATCATCCGGGGACCCCCTTGGGTTTGGGGGTTTCCTGCCCATTCAGAGCTTCGCGGTCGAAGGGTGTGTTGAGGGCTGGGAACTTCTGTGAAGCCCTTCTGAACCTGAAGTCTAAGTCCAGACCCCAAACTGACGGTTCAATCCCCGGATTATCGCTAAAGTCAATGTCTAAATTGCCAGCGCTCTGTTCGGTATTCTTCTTCTTGCGCCAGTAAGGATGCTCAGCAGCGGCGGTGGAGGTGTTGGTATTCGTGGGAGAAGTAGTCCTCGTCGTCGTCGACGTGGTTGTGGCTCGCCGTCGTCGTCCTCCTCCTCCTCGTAATTGGTCTTAGATGTGCTGTCGCGGTTGTGGTGGTGGTGATCGTCGTCGTCGCCGTCGCCGTCGTCGCGGTAGCAGTCGTCGTCGTCGCAGTAGTCGTAGACGCTGTGGTCGTAATCGTTGTCGTGGTAGCCGTAATAGTCGTAGCAGTCTGTCGTAGTCGTGATCGTCGGAGAGTCGTCGTAGTCGTCGTAATCGTAGTAGCAGCAGCAGCAGCAGTTGTTGTTGGAGCTGTTGAAACAAGACAACCTTTCTTCTCGGCGGCTCTCCTTCACTGAACTTAGCGAGGGGTCTCTTCACCGGCTGCGTGCCTCCGCCAAGTGCGCAGCAATGTTTAACCTGCCCAAAACAAGAGTCTGCTTCAAGATAGGCGTGTAGATAGCTTGCTTTAAGCGTCCTAATGGGGCGGAGCAGATCAAAGGTGGCAATCAGCAAGAAACCTCTGAGCCCTTCATTCTCGAACCTGACCCAAAAAGGCCCTACCACCAGACCGGAGGGCCGGCAGATTCTCAGTCGAGGCTTGGGGCTTCGGCGCTGAGCATCCACCCAAGCACTGCAACCGCGGGCCCAAAACGGACAGAGATGCAGCACCCAGGCTCAAACCCTAGACTAAGAAATCACAGACGAAAGCCAGCATCTTACATCATCTTAAGTCCTATGCTGCAAACCTCCCCCCCCAAAAAAAAAAAAAAAACGACACACGATACACTTACTAAATGAGGCAAGATGAGGACATGACAGGAAATCCGAACCCAGGGCCGAACACGTTCATAATTCTAAAGCCACAGGATTGAGGGGCCTTGAATAATAAAGGTGCATGAATAATTGCGACCGACTTTGAAGCTGTTTTGTACCACAAGTATAACAAGGATTTTGGCGGGTGTTACGCTGTAACCGGGATTTTGGCGTACTTCGTACTACAACTGCAAAAAGGAGCCATCAGGATATTGTTCATCTGTTCATCTCACTAGACCAACCGTATGCAGTTCAACAGACAACCTGGGACCCTTATCCCTCATTTAATTCTCTGACACACCAAAAACCTCAGACGAATTCCAGTCACAACCTTATACCCTACACCCAAAGAAGCAAACCCTGATCACCTGGATATTGACACGAAAATACTACTGACAATCATCATAGTTGAAGCACAGCCTAAACTGTCAAAGCCCGAGACCCAAACGTAAATCTTACTGACACGCTGACACTGAATTCTAAACAATTAAACCGAATCCGAAACTGCAGAAGACCCTAACCAATCCTCTTAGTTACCTTACTTATGCCCCTACGGATGACTAAGTCCCCGGATGCACCTTAAATCACCCTAAGCCCCAAACCCTACACACGAAACCCTACACCAAAACCCCAAACCCTCGAACCTAACCTTTCAAACCCCCTACACCTATAGCAACCCTTGTAAACATGCTTATCTTCTAGAGCTCTCTAAGCCCCCACCTTGATGGAGCTCGCTTCCGAGGCTCCAGTGGCGGCGGGGTCTGCACCGAAGTCAATGCGCCTTTGAAGGCCCAGGCGATTACGGACCCGTAAACTCCAAACCCGTACATCCTTTCATCCCAAACCCTTCAACGCTTATACCGATAGCTGAGCTCTGGGTTTGTGTTGAGGTACTGTAGGGCTTTCGGGTTCAGGGCCGCTGACCAATGTAAGGTTTCAGCACTCAGGGCGTTCCAGGACGTTGGGATTTTTCCCTTGGGGGCGGCTCAAGCTCTCGGTTCTTTTGAAGTTTTGACAGCGCCTTGGGGCTTTGGCGCGTTTTGCAGCTCAGCGTGGCAGAAGGTTCTGGCTTCGGATTCGGGTATGGGAAGGTGTAATAAGAGAAAATTGCCGAGATGTCCAGGGATGGCGTGATCAGTGCCAGCATGTCGGGGTTTGGGGGTTCAAGGTGTCGGCCGCTACGGCATGGAGGCACTCGAAAACATACATGGGAGGCAACAGCCGAAGCATGAACGCAAGAGTCAAGAGACGGTACTGCAAAGAACACGCTTGAGCGGTTTAAGTATGTCGGACAAGCGTGAATGGCCCGGAACTGGCAAGAGGGTCGAAAAGGGCGCACTCGATGGTAGAGACCACTAACCAGATAGCAACTTGCTGATACCATTAACAACAGCCACGAACATACTGACACAAACGGCTGTCATGGCAACAATACAGTATGGTCATCCTCATCATC